TACAAAGAATCAGTTTTCACTGGTAAAGTCAAAGTATCATGGGCATATGCAAAGATGAAGTATTTAATGATAGTCATTAACAGTACAGATACGGTTTATCAAATGGAACGCAAAAAGCATAACCTGTTTAGTGATAGAATCGTACCGAAGCTCACGCAGGTATTTTACGTGCCTTTTAAAGACACAAAGGTGGTAATACTAGGATTTTATGGAGACTCTGTGCAGCAGCTAGTTCATTTGGAGTATTAGTGCATGCTTTCGGTAGTTGCTGTCATTGAAGTAGTTTATCGATGATGACATGCGCGACGATGCTTCCCATCGACATTGATGGCATTTTCATTGTCACGGTTGACATTGTCTGTGACTAACTAAGCAGAAGTTGATGAGGTTTCTAATGCTATTAGTTTGTCACGTTCTGGTCGATTTTGCCATATGGTCATTGACTATTTGTAAGCAATCGTAATTCGTAGTCTTGCGATGACCGTTTACAGTCAGCATTGAAAAAAAAGTATAGATAGGAGGTGAGCCCTTATTTGACAAATGCAAACGCCTCCTTACAGTGGTACATGAGCAAGATTGTAGCCTGACTTGACTCCGACGATTTTGATAAACTTTTGATTGAAATTTCATTGATTCGTTTTCGGGACGCTTCATGGATATATCCGTCGTTTGATTATAGAATGCCGAAACCTGGTGAAAGGAATGTATTGATCACTTCCGCCCTTCCTTACGTCAACAACATGCCGCACCTGGGTACGGTGATTGGATGTGTGCTCAGCGCGGACGTGTTCGCAAGGTAAAATTTGTTTAATATTTATTGCACTTAGATTCTGCCAATCGAGCTTGCAACAGGGATGTGCTTCTAGACAAGAAAATTGCAGATACAGTTAAACCATATCGAGCTGCGTCAGCCCGAGTTACAGTCGCCTACTTAGTCGGCAGTTCCCAGATTTGAAAAGAATTTTCTTAGTAACCATACTTCGTTCGCCCCATATTAGTTAGTTGCCGCTTTCCTGACACGGAGGTTGCAGTATGTAGAGCAATTATACAATTACTTCATTACAATTTTATTACTGAGTAATTCGTTTTGAAGCATCTGATTTGTATAACCTGCTTACGTAATGCCTATGATACTTTCTTTTGATCTGTAATGCCATATGGGGAAACTATGTAATGCCTCTTATTAAGGTTTTGCCGATTGCGGGGATATAACACGCTGTACATTTGTGGTACTGATGAGTACGGCACGGCAACGGAAACGAAGGCCATGGAAGAAAAGGTGACTCCACAGCAAGTATGTGATAAGTACTTCAAGATTCACAAGGAAACGTACGAATGGTTCAACGTTGAGTTCGATTATTTTGGACGTACTACCACCGAACAACAGACACAGTACGA